CATCTTGCTTGGATCCAGAATCTATGCCCATGGAAGCAGCAGTCAAGAGATCAAATGATGGAAGATGTGAGCCTTGTTGAAACCACACAGGACTTGAACCTGACAATGCACAGGGAAACTCAAAGATCTCAGACAGAAACCTCATGACAACTATAAAGGATCTGAATCTGTGAACGCAAGAATTAATCAAAGTCATCAACAAAAAAGGAAATGGAGGAAATAAAAGAGAGAAACAGCACTTTGAGACAACTTTAGTTCTTTCTCCAATAAGGCCCAGTCAGGAGGGGGCTGAGCCATTAGCTAGGAATTGAAACCAAAGGTTTTGGTGGCCACTCACCCTCACTACAGACCAGTTGCTCCCCATTGCAGGGTCCCTCAGAGGAAAGACATCCACGAGTCTGGGGTGCCAGCCTCTATTAAGGCATTTATTAGATTAGAGAACAATGGATGCATTTGGACTAAGGTGCTGGTGAAGAATATTGAAAGCACCATGGTCAAAAGAAGAAACAAATGTGTCTTAAAGGAGTACCACCAGAATGCTCCTTAGAGGCAACGATGGAGAGACTGACTACTTATGTATTTTGGACAAGTTATCAGGAGAGGACAGTCCCTGGAAAGGGACATCATGTGGGGCAGTGAAAAAGAAGAAGGCCTTCAACCAGCTGGATCGACACAATGGCTGCAACCGTGGGCTCAAACATAACAATTGTGAGGTGGTGCAGGACTGTGCATAGGGTTCTAGGCCAATTCCCGGGCACCTGTTGACAGAGGCCCGCAGCAGAGAGCTACCGGGAAACACCAATAGTAGCAGGCTCTCCTTGACCTTACAATGTCAACTGGTTTTATGGAGTTGTTATCTCAATCAACATTTGGCATGTGTTTCATGGGGCCAGGCTTCTGGTGTGGGCAGTCATGTGGATTTTATGAGCTCTTTCCTGGTCCCCTTTTTTAGTAGGTGCATGCACAGCAGAGGGGCAAGTTGGAGCCAGACAACTCGAAATGGAGTCCATTGCAAGGGTGTCTGGCATACTTAGCATAACTAATTGGGCATGTGCACAACTCCTATATTCTTCATTCAAATCCTGTGTTAGTGCTGGAACTGCCATTTAGGCGGAGTGGTTAAGCGTTGGGCTGCTAATTGCAAGGGCAGCCGTTGGAAACCACCAGTTTCCCCACTGGAGAAAGATGTTACAGCCTAGGACACCTAGGAACAGTTCTACCCCGTTCTATAGGCTCACTGTGAGTCATCACTGACTTGACGGCAGTGATTTTGGTGGGTTTTTCTGGAATGGTTACGAGTGTCCGCGCCGTGCATGTCTTTCAGACCAGTTGAACTTGGTCTTTTAGAAGGAAATTTGTGATCTGGTCAAGGGCATAGACTGTACAGGTCTCCCGTGTTCTCCCACAGGTCACATTGCCCGCCACGCTCCCTCCCAGGTCTGCTATGCTCCGCTCAAGGCATTGTTTCTGCAGCATGTGCTTTCTCCTTCATTAAATTAATTTTTACAGCCGAGCAGATTATACTCAAAATGGTGGACTTTTACACTTGAAATAAGAGCTGAATTGCATGGCATTGAATTATCTCTCTCTAAAGCTTTTCTGTTTGCTTATTTTGTAAAGAAAAAACAAACAGAGCCAAGGCCATCTATAAATATAGCTCACTGCCTTTGAGCAGATTCCAACTCATTGAGAGTCTGTCTGTAAGACAGAGTAGAAAATTGCCCGTTATGGTTCAGAGACTAACTCTTCATGGAAGTTGAATGCCTTCTCTTTTTCCCGAAGAGCAGCTGGTGGTTTCGAACTGCTGACTTTGTGGTGAACAGCCCAATGCATCATCTAGAACTTCTCATTTTATCTTATTTGTTGTATTTCAAAACATTACAGAGCGAGATGCATGCTTGTCTGGCTGGAGTGAGCTGTGAGGAGTTCTGGCTCTACTAATAGTTTGCGTGGCCGAGTGGAGTCCGCTCTTCATCTAAATCCCGGTACCAAGCAGCTGTTCTAGTTCTTCACTGTGAGGGCTGTGGAAGACGCGGAAGTGCTCGGCTAATACTATAAAAGGGTGGTCTTAATTGGTTAAAATACTATCTTACAAAAATGATTTTGCTTTTTAATAAGGGACCCTATCATGTTTGTTGAAATACTGGTTTCATTAAAATGAAGGTGTTATCCAAACTTTAACAGAGTGCTTCTTCTTAATATCTGTCTGCTTTTTAAACCCTGATTGGGAGCCAGCGACTGGGAGGTTGAGCAGGTGGCCAGTCTTCTGTTTTCACACTCTAAGAAGGCCAGGGTTGCTGAGGAAAGTATGCCTGGGATCTCTGTTCATCTGCTTGCTAGTCCCTCAGCTGGTGTGGGGATATGCCTATCAATGCCTATCAAATTTCACTTGGCTTGTGTTTTAATATATTCAGTTCATTTCCTTTTGCCTGTTCCTGTCCTACTTGCTGTGTGCATGCCTAAGTGTAATTCAGGCTTACCAATGCTGCATGTCGATAGTTAAATCGCCATGTTTTATGCATGTGGAAGTTGAGACCTGGTGATAGCTATCTTGATTTAGTTGAGTCACTAATGACAGGCCTGGAGTTGGACCTTTCGGTTCTGGATTCCTGCCCTCTAGTGAAACCCCCTCATGATTTTCCAGCCTTCTGTCTCAATCTATCAAATCTTACTCTTTGGAACAATTAATTGATTACATCCCAACTCTCTTTGTATTCCTTTTTTCCTCAGAACTGATTTTAAGTAGAGGCAGAAGAGGTGGTTATCTTTGTGGATTAACTGTCAGTGGAAAAAGGTGGCCCTTCATTTCCTATTTATCTTGTCTATTGCAATGAAATAATAGGTGCCTGGTGGTGTAGTGTTTATGTGTTGGCCTGCTAACTTCAAGGTCAGCAGTTCAAAACTACCAGCCACTCTGAGAAAGAAAGTGGCTTTCTATTCCCATGAGGAGTGTCTTGGGAACCCACAGGACAGTTCTACCTACTCCTCGGGGATCATTATGGGTCAAAATTGACTTGGTGACAGTGACTTTGACTTTTTATTGTAATTAAATAACAGTGCCCAAACAAACCCAAATCTCTTTACCATTAATTCTGACCCACAGAAATCTGGTAGAGCAGAGTAGAGCTTCCCCCCAGTGTTTTGAAGGCTCCAATCATTATTGATGCTGACTGCCACATCTCCAGTGAGTGGCTGGTGGGCTGAGCTTTCTGTTAGCAGCAGGTGCTTAACCACTGTGCCACCAAAACCACAAACCAAGTCCACTGGTGGAATTGCTTCCTCTTTACAGTGGCTCTACAGTAATATGTAATGATTTAGCCAAGTGTTTTTAACAAAAGCAGCGATAAGGCTCTGACCTAAAAGAGTTTAGGAAAGGAATGTCAAGGTCTTGGAAATTAAGTCTCAGGATGCTCTTCTTCCTTGGACTTCAATTCTCTTAAATCACCTTTGCTCTGGCCTCCTTGAGGGCCATTCTCTGCACGGAAGAATTAAAAAACAAAACACCCTGCCACCCCGCCCCCCTTTCCGAAGAAACAAAAACAAACCCCCAAAGTAAACCACATGTCTCTCTCGCCTAATTAAAAATCGTCCAGGGTGTTCTACTGCATTAGATAAACTCCAATTCCTCTCTTAGCCCTACAGGATCTGCTCCATATTTAATCTTTACCTCTCCAAGCTCATTTCCGCTTACATTCTAATTTTCTTTTCTCCTTTTAATAAATTAGAATAGGCCCCAAGTCCATTTGCTATTCAAATAGCTGCTTAAATGTCTCCTCCAAAGGACCCTCCCAGAAATAGTCATCCAATCACAGGCACCTTCACATCACCAAATTTCTTCACCTACAGCTCATCACTCAAATGTATTCACACCCTTGTCTCCCAGATACACTCACGGGCACCTGCACTGTCTTCATGGATGGTTGACAGACAGCCTAGAGTAGTGCTTTTAACATCAAGTAGCGCAACAAAAACTTATGGAGGAAACGAATGCGCATTATGAATGTGTCTCTCCTGACCCAGTCCTTCCAACTGGGCAAGATTTGACTCAGTGAATGAAGCCACACTTAACACGTCTTTGTCATTTTATCTGGTATTTAAAACTTCGCCCTTGAACAGTGCCCTAGACTGTGTAACTTGACTGGGCCTTCCGATTTTGGGGGGAAAGGCTCAGCGTATTCCATCTCGGGAATGGCTTCTCCGAGATCAAGGCTTCACTTCCCACTTTCGATACCACGAACGGAAGGGGTGAGCGCTAGGGCCGGGGAACCCTGGATGCTAATTATGCAGTTCGGATAGGGCGGAGGGGGCCGGTGTGCTGTGAGTGGTCCTCCCGGAGAAGCAGGGAGAAGGGGCGGAGCCATCCTTCCCCTCCCCCCCAAAGGATGGGCCTTCCTAGGGCCGTCAGATCTGGTGGGGCTGCGGATTTGGGAAGGACCCGGAGCTTCCGAAGAAGACTAAGCTGGCCTTGAGGGGTACAAAATTCCAACTGGCCTCAGGTGGTAAGACCGGGGGGGGGGCGGTCAAAGGGAGAGAAATGGGGGTTGAGTCCCGACCTGCGTAGTGAGCCCAAGCCTGGTTATTTTGCCAGAGGAAAGGGTTAAACCGTTTCCAAGGTAACGGACCAGGAAGCGCGCAAGACGTCCGCCGGGGTTCGTAGGTCAGCCTCGAGTTAAAGCGCCCACGGCCGCCCGGGTTCTGGCCAATGGGGAGGACGTCGAGGCATCACGTGGTTGGTGGGGCCGGTCCGCTCGGGGTGCTCCAGCACGTGGGAAGGCTTTTCCGTGTGGCTTCTTTCCTTCTCTAAAGCCCACCCACTTTTGCGCGGGCTTGGCTCCGGTTGCTCTCGCGAGAGGCGGAGCGTCCTCTCGCGAGAGTGAGTGGGAGGCGTGGGGACGAGGCTGTGTCGCGGGCTGGAGCTGAGGCGGCGGCGGAAGCCGAGGGGGTGGGCCGGGCCGGGGGAGGGCCCAGGGGGGGGAGGGGGGAGGGCCGGGGGCTGGTGCGGGAGGGCCGCTGGCTGCTCGCCCCGCCCGCGCGGCTGGTTGTTGCGGACCGGTGACATGCCTGCGAGCTGCGGAGATTGCGGCCCCCAGGTGAGCCGGAGCCGGACCCCACCGCGGCGTAAGCAGCACGTTGGCGGGGGAGGCGGTGATGTGTGGGGCCGAGGTGGGCTCTGGCGTCTCCGCTTGGGCGCCCCAGTCCCTCCGCCGGGCTCCGGGTTGGGGCAGCAGGAGGGCTGCGTCTGTGGGAGGAGCGGGCGGATGGGGAGCCCAAAGCTCGGGTCGTGAGGGGTCCTAGGCGCCGTGACCCGACGTACCTGGAGTCCCACAAGCTCGGCTTTGGGTGACAGGTTCCGTTTCTGCCCCTTTGATGGCCTCAGAGCCGGGTGCTCCCTGAATGTGCAGGTTTGTGTTCCTGGTACGAGGAGGACATTGCACTTTGCCCGCAAACGGCATCCTCACTGTCAGCAAGCATTGCAACTAGTCACAACCCAAGTCTTATGTCAGGCAGCTCTTTAGATAATCGATATTTGGATTTGTTGTAAAATTCTCAGCTAAACTGTTAGTCTCCCTGATGTCGCAGTGGTTCAGCACGCCTCTGCTAACGGAAAGGTGGCAGTTGAACCCACTAGCCACTCTTTCGGATAAAGATGTGACAATCTGCACCCGTCTGCAAAGATCTGCAGCCTTGGAAACCGTAAGGGACACTTCTCCGCCCTAAAGGGTCGCTGTAAGGGGGCAGTTCACCATGGAACGTCAGACTCCGTGACTGGGTGTGGGTTGACCCAACATTCCAAGTGGTTTGGGTATCCTATTAGATGCCACACGTCTAAGCTGCTTTATAAAAACATGGAGATTTGCTCTGGGTGACGTTGGTAAAATGACATTAACAATAGTTGACCAGGACCAATGATTGATCTTGATAAAATCTTATTAAACTGGAAATGGTTTAGCCTAAAATGTTTAAAAAAAATTGAGAATGAGAAATACTACTGAGGATCCCTCTCCAATGGCCCTCGTGCAAACTGGAGTTAAAAACTGGGGTTCTCTTTTCAGCTTCAGTATCCCTTGCAGAATACTTAATTTTTTCTTAGCTTCTTTCCACCTTGTTAGGAATGTTAAGTGAGCCATCAACGCAGCGGGTTTTGTTAGGTCTGAAAATTATGGGAAAATACTAAGTACTCGGAAGATACAGGATCCTCAGTAATGCAAAGATGATTTTGTTTTACTGCCCTGTTTATGATGTTGAGTACATAGACACTTAGTGCCAACATGATTGGCATCCATTAAGATGGCATAATGAGCTTTTCTTAGTACATGTCACATGAAGACAAATAGTGCACTGGTTACTCATAAATGTTCCTTGAGGCAAAAAGTGCGACTTCAGAATTGACAGTGAATTTCATGATTAATTGCAGGTGTGGGTAATTTATGAAGGATCGGAGTGTATGAACAATTTTGGGATCAGGTAGTGGTAATGCTTGAACACCATGGTGTGTGTAATTATTGTCACGACAATGAAAAAATACTGAAGTAGATGCTTTGTTACATAAGCTAGGGGGCTTCAAAAAGCTCATTGAAAAATGGAATTAAAGGATGATGATTTTTTTCCCATGAACTTTTTGGAACCCCCTTGGTGGTGTAGTGGGCTGGGTATTGAGCTGGTAATCATGAGGTCAGAGGTTTGAACCCACCAGTACGTCAGACAGTTTTGCTCCCAGGGTCCCAGTTTTACATGGTTTCATTCTAAACAAAACGTATTTAAACTTGGCAGTCAGTGTGAACCCACTGGCTGCTCTGCAGGAGAAAGGTAAAGCTGCACCAGTGATGATTTCAAGCCTTGGAAAGCCAAAGGGGCAGTTTTACTCTGCCCTGCAGGCCACTATGAATCAGAATGACTCGATGGCTGTGAATTTGGTTTTATTATTATTTTTTTGTATTCTTAGTACAAGTTAAAAGGTCGAGAAGAAGAGTTTAAGGGGTTATTAGAAGTAAGTCCCCAAGCTGAACTACTAACTAATGTCCAGTGTACTCTTCAAAATCTGCAGTAGTTTTAACTGCACTGTTGCTAAGGAAGTAGCAGTATACTCCCAGGCCAGTGTTCTTTCTCAGGATATAGCACTTGTTTAAGACCCAAAACCCCAGTGAGAAATTAGTTCTGTGAACTTCGAGGGGAAGCTCAGAAGCTAGAGAAATAAAGTCTTCTGCCTCTAGAAGCTGGAAGAAGGCTTTTGTGTAAATAAACCACTGTAAGTCGGAAAACAACACTATTAGATAGGGCTCTAGTTCTACATGTGTGGGTCCCTTCCAAACCTCATGGTTTAAACTTGTCTCTGGGGCCAGTGGATGGTTGCAGACAAGTGCTCTCAGCGGTATGTTTTTCTCTGGTTAGCTTGCCTTCCTTCACAAGAGGTACCCTTTCAGCCCAGGGAAACTGCTGGGTTAAATTCAAGGCAGAGAGGTTAGCACAGAAGGTGAGGATAACTGGTTTAGGGGGCTTTTGGAGGGACAATCTTGATAGATTATCCTCAAAGAATACAGAGCGATCATAGAGGCTTATGAAGCAAATGCACAGTTGCTTTGGTGAGAAAAAGACCAGGAAAGTTCAGCTGAGATCCCACCCCCCACCCCCACCCCTACTCCTATCATGACAGTGTACTTGCTCATTCTTCAAGGGTAGCCAGGAATGCCCTAAGAGAATTTCATGGGAACCATAGCCCCGGTCTTGCCCCTTCAGACTCCAGCACATCTCAGAGGAGCACAGTTTGAGTTTCCCAAGGGTGTCCAAGCTGCTGTTTGGATGTGGTGTAGATTGAGGGGCAGACATCAGTGGGGAAGAGCGGTGGGAGCACCACTTCCACCTGTGTGGAGATCTAGACGACGGAGGCATCGAGGAACAGCTGCTTCTGCTGTACTGTCTTTGCTTAATAACGCTTGCTCGGATTTTGTAGCAATACCTGTGACTTACTTTCACAGATGCACACACACGGCTTTAAAAAGTGCATGGAAATACACTATTTTTTATCTTTTTATTTTCCCCACAAACATTTAGAAGCTCCTTGGATTTAGCTATCCATTCATTCACCCCCCTTTCCTCCTTTACTTCAAGGAGCTTATTCTCTAGAAATTGAAATCAAACCAATTTGGATTATCTAGATCACTTTGAGAGGATTTTCCCGTTGTGAATAGGCAGAGGAGTTCTAGCCAAACTTGGAGAAAATGTGAAAATTTTAGCAACTGTTTTTTGTAAGCTGGGGCACTGCTGACGTTGAGCTGGGGCACTGCTGACGTTGAGCTGGGGCACTGCTGACGTTGTGTTGGGCTGCTAACTGCAGGCTCAGTGGTTGAAACCACGAGCCGCTCCCCAGGAGAAAGACAGGGTTTTCTAACTCCTGTAAAGAGTTACAGTTGCAAAAACCCACAGAGCAGTTCTACCACCAAGTCGCTATGAGTCAGCATCAGCCCCATGGCAGTAAGAGCAGGAAAAAAGGAAAAATCCAGTCTAGATTAGACAGGTTTGTCACATTTCCTATTGGTAAAGTGATGCCATGAGAAAAAATAATTTGGTTTTTTTTTTATGGTATTTAAAATCTGTTTGCCAAGAGACAGTTACCTCAATTACTTTTCAAAGGAAAGACAGTATAAAAAACTATCTTCAAACTTTGTGGCTTTGTCTTTCCTTGGAAAAGTTATTGAGATAACTATTTAATTACTTTGGTAAACAAATTTACTATTATTTTCAGTCTAAGGGACTGCATCTTAGTAATAAAACAACCATTTAACCACTTGGAGGAAATGAGCATTTGGGATAAGTTAATAAGAGATCTGAGCTTAGCTAGGCTTGAGTCAAACCCACCACCATTGAAGTAATTCTTTCTGACTCATAGTAACCTGATAAACGGTTTCTGGGGCTGTATACATTTTCACAGGAGCAGACAGCCTCATCTTCCTCCTGCAGAGGGTATGGGTGGTTTTGAACTGCTGACCTTTACCACGAAGCTACCAGGGCTCCTCGTAGGCCCGAGTGAAAGGCTTACAAATGGATAACATGAGCGAAGGGCACAGGAAATACATGATCAGTTTAAAAGAGATGCAACAGATTCAATTGTCTTAATTTTCCTGTTTATTTCTTATATACAAAAGTTCATTGTATTTTTAAATTCTGGGGTAAAATCACTTGAAACGTATAGCTTGATGAAGGAAAAATGAACATTTGGGGGTAATTGCCTCCATGAGTGAATAGCAGAATGAAACATTTCCTGACCCTGCTCCATCTTTAGTATCATTTGTATGTTCTAGCTCATTGTTAAAGCCACTGGGCATTGAAATGGCCTTCCAATTGAGGATGCTCACCTTCCAGCCCTGTATCAGATAATGTCTGTTGTGTTCCAGAGGGTTTTAATTGACAAATTTTGGGATGGTAGATTACCAGACCTTTCTTCCTAGTCTCTCTCAGTCTAGATCCTCTGCTGAAACCCGCCAGCCATAGGTGAACGTGCTGGTGTTTGAAATCCAGGTGATAAAGTTTCTGGCATCTCAGCAACACAGAAGTCTCCGTGGTCTGAGACTGACAGGTGATGGGAGGTAGAGGCGGTTTATATCATTTTGTTTCTTTGACCTCTGTTAGTGGCTTGAGGATTATTTGGCAGCAGAGAACTACAGCCAGTTTGAATTGGCTTCTGTAAGAGAACCTGTCTTCAGACTCTGCTTGATGTCCAGCTGAGAGTCCTGGGAAACAGAAAATTATCGGGCAGTAGTTACTCTTTCAATTTTTTTCAGGGAACTGAAACATGGCCTGTGTTGCGGCTGCCTACCACCTGTCTGTTCCAGTTCTTTTCTGACTGGTCTCTGTAAAGCAGCGGTTCTCAACCTGTGGGTCGTGACCCGTGTGGGGGTCGAACGACCCCTTCACAAGGGTCATCTGATTCATAACAGTAGCAAAATTACAGTGATGAAGTAGCAACGAAAATAATATTATGGTTGGGGGGTGGTCACCACCACATGAGGCACTGTATGAAAGGGTCGTGGCCTTAGGAAGGTTGAGAACCACTGCTGTAAAGGCTCTTCCTGTCACTCTGGATTGTCATGCTGCA